TCTGCTTCAAGAAAATACTCTAGGGGACACCTCAGCTAGTGAAAAATGTGTAGACCTTCTGGAAGGACCAAGGGAGGCACTGGGAAAGGATCTGTGTGTGGTTAAGCAAGTTACTCATCCTCTCTGAACTTGACTTCTTCCTGTTAAATAAGATATCAGGGCCAGCTCTCTTAGAGTCTTTACATTTTCATGAATCATGAATACAGCAGGTGAATACAGAAAGTATAAGGGGTGGTGCAGATGGCAGAGGGACCTCTCCAGGGACCTCTCCAGCCATTTCCTCCTGAGCAGTTACAAACCAGAGGCAAAGCAATACTGTCATACTGGAGGGGTGTTCATTATTGCTCATGACTGGCATTATAAAGTCTGTAAAAATACAAAATACATGCAACTATTTTCTGGAAGTAAGTTAAAAAGCAGTTGGATTGACCCATAGTGCTATTTGACTGGATTATTTATTTATTTATTTATTTATTTATTTTAGGAGGAAAGTGGTCATTTCTCCACTGATGATACTTTAAAAGGGAATCACCCCCCCCAAAAAAAATGTTTTGAGCAAAACCGCATGCAACACACTCATTTAACAAATTAATTACCTTTATTGTAGGTGTGTGTGTGTGTGTCCCTGTGGGTTCATGGCTTTCATTTTCACTATCTTGCCAGAATAGTGTGCACTTTTATTGACTAGAGAACTGAGAGGAACTTAAACTTGACTCTTGCCTTTGTGCATTTGAGGGCTGTCATAAGTTTCCCTCCACCCAGGTAAGCATACCACCTCCATTCCAGGGGCCCCTGGCAACTCCTTGCTTGGCCCATGGGTATCTGGAAGCCACACTTAGCCTCTTTTGTTGGGATTGTCCCATTAATAGCACTACTGAACAGAGCACTATGCCAGTCACAGCTTTTATCCCTTAGTGGTGGGAAGGAAGCAGTCTTAGCTCAGCAATAGCTTTGTCAAAGAAGTCTTCTCAGTCCTTCGCCGACTTACTGATTCACCTCATTTGTGTGGAGTGAGGGGCTGGATGCCAAGCAACTCTGTCTAGTTCCTCTGTAGATTTAACACATGGCCAGATTGAAACCTGTCCTGAACACTCTGGTCTTCTGACTTCTGTTAATAGCTTGGAAATTCAGTATGAGGATCCCAGAAGGCCTCAGCTCCCAGCTTGAGTCTGGACAAAAGGGGCTCCCAGCATAGCAGCTTACTGCAAAAAGCCAGCCAGGGAGGGGTTTAGCTTGCAAAAGAAGTCTGAATCCTGAACCTGTCCTTAGAAGTGACCTCCTACTACCTTTGCAGCTGGCATTACAATTCATACCTGACATACCTCTCAGAGAGTGAGAACAATCTTGAGAAAGCCTACCTGTCTGTGGTAGTTTGAAGGAAAAAAAAAGTGGCACTATGAGGAGGTAGTCTTTTTGGAGGAAGTGTGTCACAGTGAGGGCAGGCTTTGAGGTCTCTTTTGCTCAAGCTTCCTTCAGTGTGACAGTAGCTGACTTCCTGTTGCCTGCAAGATATAGCACTCTCTGCTCCAACACATCTGCCTGCAGGCTGCCGTGCTCAGGGGGCATGGTGATAAAGCACTGAACCTCTGAAACTGTAATTGAGCTACCAAATGAAATGCTTTTGCCCACCAGCGTGGCCAGAGCACCGAGTTTAGCGGAGGGTGTCAGGATTGAAACACTTGACAGACTACCATGAGAAGTGAAGAGGAAGCTGCTGCCCTTTATTACAGAGAGTAATACCCAAGCCAGGGGATGGGCTAAGCATAGGAGGAAGTCATGCACCACCCACACCTGGGTTCAAAGCACGGGCACTGCACACCAGAAAGTTATGAGAACAACCTTGTTTGATCAACCTTGAGAGCACGGGAGTTCTACAGCTGGGTGGGGAGGAAGAGAGCTTATTATAAGGAACAAATACTTAAATTTCCCAACATTTTTTGTTTTATACAAGAGTTGCTGTGGTCATGGTGTCTCTTCACAACAGAGAATCCTAACTAAGCAATATCTATGGCATTATAGGCAGGAAGTATCCTGATCAAAGAGGAAGGTGATGTGTTGCCAGGGTCACTCTGGAGGTCCACACATCACCTTTCACCTTTTCCCAAGCTCTCTCCCAAGTCATGCCGGTTATGCAGCTATCCCTGAGCTCTAGCTCCTTGGGGTTGAGAAGCCAAGGGTCCTCAATGTTGTCCTTTCAGAAAGTGGTTCTGTAGATGTCACTAATGACTGGACCCCTTCCCAGGACACCTGAATGGAGGCTGAGCATCATACGCAGAGCACACACTTGAGTTCCTTGGTGGAGTTTGAAAGATGTAGATGGGATCCTGGCCCACTGAGTTTCTTGCCCCAGGCATTCTTGCCCAGTGTTATGCTGCTGCGTTGCACAGAGGGATAAAGAAAACAGTGCTAAAAGAAGAAAACGGGGATGGGATGGAATTGAATATGATCTTCCAAGTCTTGAAGACCTTCAATTTGTCTGATCATGCAACTCCCACTAACCAGTTCCCCATCTTCTCTAGCAGGGACTGATGATGTCCTTGGCCATGATACACCCCCAGCTGCTATCTGCTCATGTTCAGCCTGAATGACTGAGCCATCGCTGCTCCAGATGTTTCCTGTGAGTATAAGGCACAGGCCAAAGCTTTTCCCCCAGAAATATTTGGTCTCTAGGTAGGAAGATGGGTGTAGAGGGGGTGTCATAAAACCCTGGACTCAGAAAGTAGACCCTTAGAATCTTTTAGTGGATAACAAATTTTCCTCTTTGGTGACTGCTGTCCCTTGGGTTGGCCACCACTGAGTTGTTCTACTCTAGATCTGATAGGACTTGGGTGGAAACTGGGAACTTAGTTCCCACAGAACTACTCAAGATGCAAATGTTTTGATAGAAATCCACAACACTGGTCCTGAAGTCCTGGCTTGGACACTTCCTACCTTGTGACTTCAGATAGGTCTCTGAGAAGTCCAGCCTCTCCACCGGTGTTGTAGGACATTTTGGTGAGGTTCAAGAAAGTATGTTATTTAATTTTTGCTGGGGTGGATGGGAAACAGACTTGCTTCTGATCTTATTCATGTGACACTGCTACTTCTGGGCCATTGACTAAGGACCTCAGTTTCCAGCTTGCTTCTGGCCACAGAACCTGCAATGTCTGGTCACATGGCTCTCCCAGCATAGTGGCTCACTGTATCAAAGCCAGCAATGGGAAAGGGTTACCTCATGAAAAAGAAACATGAAGCCTGAACCTGTCCACAGAAGTGACCTCTCATTACCTTTGCTGCTTTGTGGCTGGTTAGAAACAAGTCATGGGTTACATTCACACAAGCAGGGAGAGCAGTATGCAAGGTGTGGGTGAGAGGGATTGTGATTACTGGGGGCCATCTTTAATTCTGCTCAGAATAAGAGGAAACATAAATGGAAATGTGAAGTAAAGCTGTGCCATGCTATTTATAAGTATAAAGATTTACTGCTATCATTTGGATCTAATTGCACAAAGGGAACTAACCCTGCCTGAAACAATAGGGAATTTAAGGGCCAGATTGTCCTGTTAGACTGTTAGACCAGGTCCTCACGGAAATGTACTGGGCCTGCTCAGCTCATTTTACACATCCTACACACGCCTTCCTGGCTTGCAAGGGCACATTTAAGCAGCCAGAAAATGCCTGAGCCTTCTCCCCCCTTCCCCCACATGACCATCCTGTGTAGGGTCTTTAAAAACATAGAAGAGTGCCAGGCATGGTGGTGCACACCAGCACTCGGGAGGCAGAGGCAGGTGGATCTCTGAGTTTGAGGCCAGCCTTGTCTACAGTGTGAGTTCCAGGACAGACAGAGCAACACAGTGAGACCCTACCTCAAACAAACAAACTATATACATATACACATATGTTTATATGTGTGTGTGTGTATATATATACATACATACATATATGAATGAGCCAGGTGTGATATTTCACACCTGCAACCCTAGTACTTAGGAGACAGAGAAACAGGAGAATTGCTAAGAGTTTGAAGCCATTCTCTGATACATGGTGAGTTCTGAGACAGCCTGGATGACAGGATTAGACCCTGTGTCTAAAAATAAAAACAAAAAGCAAAACCAACAAAGTTGTATGAAAGATGTATGTGAGATATCTCACTGTCTTCTCACAATCGTTTGCAAAGTTGTGTGTGTGTGTGTATGTGTGTGTGTGTGTGGGTGAGTCAGTTGTTCAAGACAGAAAGGTGAATGTCCAAGATCGGGTAGCTGTGTAGGACACAGCTCAAATGCAAGCCATCAGATGGTTGCTTCTTTCTGTAGTACCCTCTAGCCCATTTTAAGACACTGCTACTGTATACAGCTCCCTAAACTGAAAGAGGAGAGACACTGTTCTTATAAAGCTTTCCCACAAGCCCTTGTCCACTGAAACATCCTGGCAGAGTGGGTTAAGGTTTTCAAAGCCAGTGAGGTGGTTTCCCACCTGCCATTCCAAGACTTTCAGTGAGGTTGGGTCACCACTCTGTCCCTGCAGTCACATGGTAATCTTCTGTCTTGCGAGCCGGGGAGGCTTCATTGATGTGCTGGCATTGTATAAATCTGCTCCAGCTTGAGTCCCCCACCTACCCATCAGATGCTTCAGGAACCCCCAGAAACACAGCCTACCATACATCTGAGCAAAGTCAAATCCTTCTTCAATGGGATGCTCAGGTTTGTGGAGGAAATTAAAAATTGCGACTTGCTGTCCCCTAGTGGTCAGTTAAAGTAATAACTGTCAGCCTGTACACAGAAACAATTGCCCATCTTTTATTAAAGCACATAACACCTGCCTGTTGTGTACCACAGCCTGATGTATACTATTGGGATCAACAGGTGTGGGAAAGAATATAACACAATACTTTGTTGCAAAGGGTTTACAGCTTAGTAGAAGACTCAAGATATTTCTGAATCAAAAATAGACTAGCAGGGCTGAAAATGGCTCAGCAATTAAAAGCACTTGCCTTCCCCCCCCCCCAAAGGATCCTTATTCAATTCCCAGCATCCACATGGCAGCTCACAGCCATCTATAACTCCAACTCTATGGAATGCAAAACCCTATTCTGGCTTCCTTGGGTACCAGGTACACATGCAGTGCTCACACATACATACAGGAAAAACAGTCATACACATAAAATAAATAAATATATCGTTTGTTTTGAGACAGGTTTCCCTGTCTAATAGCCATAGCTGAGCTGGAACTTACTTTGTAGACTAGGCTGGCCTCGAACTCACAGAGTTCTGCTGGCCTCTTCCTCCTGAGTATTGGGATTAAAGGCCTGTGCCACCATGCCTGGCTTAAATACATATTTTTAAGTTGACTAGCACCCACCAAGAGTAGAATATGGAAAGGCATTGCAGTAGGATCTCTGTTAGTCATCTGTCCCAAAACCTGTTTGCTTCGTGCCTTCCCCTAGTGTGTTGTACCCTTTCCAGACCCCTTTCAATTCTCAGAGCCTTGTTCAGCAACCCCACCCCACCCCCATGTCCTTCAACCCCTGGATGATTTCATTCTCTCAGCTTGGAGGATTCATCTCAGATCTTGCAGGGGCATCTTCCTCAGTAACCAGCACCCCCTCCACCATTGCCTGCATTCCTGGTCTATGATCAATATCATAGGGTGTCTAAATTCCTTTCCATCATTAAACTCTAAGCTTCCTAAGGACCAGGATTACCACATGGGGCAGGGGCTTTGGCTGGGGGAACAATGAGAGGTGAAAAGGAGAGTTAAATGGTGGTGAGCATGCAGAACAGTTGGGAAGGGTGAAAGCTTTGAAGCAGTGTCCAGATGAGTGTATCTTCCACTCTTTTGAAGGTGATGGGAAGTCCTGAGTGGCTTTTAGTGTACACAATCATCTTTCTCCGCTTATTTAAAGCTTACACATCCTTATGTAAGACCCTCAGAATGAGGAGTCTTCTAGGTTCGGTCGATACCCCAAGAACTCAGTGTCCAGTCCAGTTGCTGCAAAACGCAAGAGGCTTTAATGAACAGGAAACATTTGCACAAACGGGCTCCTCCAGCATGCAGGCTAGAGAGAAGCCTCCTCCCCTGGGCCCAGGTGTTTTTAAAGGCAAACCCACAAGCTTAGGGAGGGGGCCGGACCCTCTGTCCATTGAGTATGTGACCCTTGGAGGCCGGATGGTCTGCTATTAGGGTCAACAGACCTTAGGGCCTTGGGGTGTGCTAATTCATTTTGTCTGGGCAAACCAGAGTTGCAGCTATCTCTTTGTTTCCTAAGGACCCTATTTACCACCTGTTGACTCACAGGAAAGGAGGGGCAGTGTGAATTCTTCTTATCTCAGGGCCTTGTGAGAGGAAGTTAGCAAATTCCAAGGAACAGATATTGGTTTCCAGGTCAGTCCATCATTAACATTACTTTTTTGGTCTTTCACTTCAAAGCACCAAGATGCCTTTCTTGGGTGCCCCATTCCTGAGCCTTTCCTCATCTCTGGATCCTACTAGAATGCCTTCCATATCCTACTCTTCAAGTCTTATTTTGGTGGATGCTGGTCAACTTTAAAATATATATGCATTTTTTTCAGGCAGTGCTAGAAAGATATTGGAATCACAGGCAGGAATGGGAGGAAGGGGCTGATGTATGGCCAAACTACAGTAACAGGAACAGGGCTCAGACACAAACCCAGGGATGTTGGTTATGAAGCCAGTACACCAGTTCAGCCTGAACTGGCACGGGGAACAGAAGATCGAAGTACATCAAAAGAATTGAGATATTTCAGTCAGAGCACCTGGGCATATCCTATAATCTGACCAAAATAATCTGCCAGCAAATCACCCAAGAACTTATTAAAATGCAAACTGTTGCTCCTCGGGTCCTTTGTAGGCAGGAGAGACTTTGTAGCTAGCGCATGCCCACACTGCTGACCCACAGACCGGCCAGTAGCAGCAAGGCTTCTTCCTCTAAATGAAGTAGAAGTGGACTTTCTAGGAGTGCCTGGTGGGCAAGTGGTACCTTTGGGTGAAGGGATGGGTACCCTTCATCCAGGTGAGCACACAGGATGTGCATCCATCTGGAAAGCAAAATAATGCCTTCATCCTGTATATATCGAGCTTGAAATAGCAGTGGGACATCTAAGAATAATGTCCAGATGAAAATGGGTAGAGATTAGGTACCTTTTTTCGGGAGTAACATTCTTTTCCCAATATCTCTGTCCTTTTTGTTGTCTTACAGGTCATCGTTCCCTTCACTGAGTGTAAGTCCATGATGTCCTCCCTCCATCCTCCAGCTATCAAGCCCCCACTGTCCTGCAGGGGTGGGGATGAGGGCCCCATATGCCTAGGAGGCTCAGAAACCACCACATACTGGCCTGCCAAAGGCCTGGATGGCCTCACCCAGAATTTGTTTCATTTGGCCCAAGGACCAGGACCAGTGTCCCTAGTCTGACCACGGCCTTCTGGGAGCCAGGATGCTGCCTGCCAGCTCACTCCAGGCTCATGTCTCCAAAAGTTCAGAAGCCATTGATATTTGTGCCCAAGAGAGAAGTGATAGGCAGCTTGACTTTTAAGGGGAGCCAGGCTAGGTGGAATTCCAGGCTTCAGTTCAGTGCCTCGTGTGAGGGCATGGATAATGAGTAGCTGTCTCAAAAAATTAAAATTAAAGTGAGGATTCCTGAGCCATTTCAGGGTAGGGAGAAAACTTAGCATAATGCCTCACAGATAAAGCCCTGCTAGTATTCCCTATTGGTGCCATAAGAACAGGAGGCAAGAGGAATTGTTCAGTCAGCACAGGGCTTGTCTTGCAAGCATGAGGACTCAAGTTCAGTCCCCAAAGAGAACCTGAGTTTGATCCTTAGGACCCACATTTTAAGTCAGGTGTGATGGCGGTCATTTGTAAGCCAAGTGAGTCAGAAATGGGTAAGTTCCTGGACTCCATGGCCTAACCTACTCTACTAGACAAGTTCCAGGCCAGTGAGAGACTGTCTCAAAAAGAATGGCACCTGAGGAACAATACCTAATGTCCTCTGGGCTCTACAAGCACAGGCACACACACACACACTCACACACACTCACAGACCACACACAGACATGCATATATAAATAATAATAATAATAGGAGTAGGGAAAGAGAAAGACAAAAAGACTAAAGGAGAAACAGAGCAGCCAGCATTGTGCCTGCCTTTTTCTCCAGCAGCCGCGGCCCCCACCCCACCCACTCTGGGTTAACCATAGCAAGTCCTCTGCCTTCAGGAAGTGCATGTGGGTCCAGGTCCACTCAGTTCCTGTCCTCCTACCTACTTCTGTGCAGAGAATGTGGATCAAATATTCCTTACTTACCAGCATGCGTCTTTGCAGAGTTTGATGGGGCGCCGGGCGGATGACAGCGGGAACAGTTGTGATCACTGGCGGAATCCTAGCTACAGTGATCCTCCTCTGCATCATTGCTGTCCTGTGCTACTGTAGGCTCCAGGTTAGTCCCATTCCCATGGGCCTATAGTCAGAGGCTGAGAAGCCACCAGCAAACCACTTCTCCATGATTGGTGGCAGGAACTGGAGGTCCACTTTGGAGGCAATAAAACCCAAAGCCATAAAATATAAGAAGCACAAGACAAAGACACTGAAAATCGAGCGTCTTCAGAAGAGAGCTGTGTACCTAACCTCCCCCGCGCCCAAACACACACACACACATACACACACACTCGTTCCTGCACTCTACAGAGGAACCAGAGTGTCCTAGAAAGATGCAGGGCTCTCACATTCACCTCTCTGGTTAATAGGGATTGGTGGGAAAGTCACCGTCCTGGGAAACTCTGGAAGCTACTACAGCAGCCTCCAGCCTTGCCTTTGCATTCGTGTATGTGCCTCCCTCTCTGCTTCCTTGCCCACCAGGATACACTGAGAAAAAGGGAGAAGTATTGGCCTGATAGAGATGGGAGTAAATGGGATGTGAGCCTCTAGTGCCAGAGTATATTTCCCTTCACCAACCAAGTGACTGGTACAAGGTATTCAGTGGAAGGCGGAGGGAGGATTATTCTCACTAGTGATGGAAGGCCGGAGCTAGACTGCTTCTCAAGCATCCCTCTCTCTTCTCCCCAGTATTACTGCTGCAAGAAGAACACAGATGACGAGGATGCTGAGGAGGAGGAGGAAGAGGAGGAACACAACCTTCCCATCCATCCCCGAGCCCCCACCTGCAATGCCTGCAGTTCCCAAGTCCTGGACGGCAGAGGCAGCCTGGTACCTCTCACCAGCGAGCCCTGCAGCCAGCCGTGTGGGGTGGCCAGCCACTGCACCACTTGCTCCCCATATGGCTCCCCCTTTTACATACGGACAGCTGACATGGTGCCCAATGGGGGTGGAGGTGAGAGGCTCTCCTTTGCCCCTACACATTACAAAGAGGGGGGAACCCCTTCCCTCAAACTGGCAGCACCCCAGAGTTACCCGGTGACCTGGCCAAGTTCTGGGCATGAGGCCTTCACTAATCCAAGGGCTATTAGTACAGATGTGTAATCCTTTCACCCCAATTCGCACATACCCAACACTGTCCCAGCAGGAGCAATGGAGTGGAGGGGACCCTCCAGTAGCTCCACAGGGAACCATATCAGATTCTCTGGCTTCCATAGCAGAGGGGTCAATAGTGTGTGAGCTATAAAATGCATCGAGGACCAGGGCAGGAACTATGGCCCAGAAGTGATGCCTGATAAGTCTGCAGTGTCACCATGTTCTTTCTGGAGATTACCCTGTAACAGTTGAGCTCTACCACAACCCCTTCCAATCAGCCCAAACCCTTTGCTTTGCTGGGCTGTGCAAAGGAACACCAAGGAAGGCTAAGCAAGACTCTGGAGGGTTCCAGAGACCTTGGGAAATGAAGTGGGCATGCCTTGAAGAAATGGACACAAAGGAAAAGGTGATAATTTGACATTCCAGAATTTGAGAGGAGAGAGAAAAAAAACATGTTAAAGGAACGCTCTCAGCTCTGCTTGTTGGAATGCACCCATGGGCTAATGTATATTTTATTTTTCTAACTTTGTTTGCCTGCTCTGACAGATACATGAATTCTGGAAACACTATATCTGCTTTCTCGACCCTCCCCACGAAAGAAACACATCAAACTGACACTAAGTGCCATGGCACACAGCTGTTTATGGGGACCATAGCAAGAGTCTATACAACCTTGCCTCTCCTTCAAGTCCTTTCTTTTGCCTGCTGCTAGAGAGCCTTCCTCAGATTTTAATCACTGCAGTTCTAGAAGCCTGGTGAGGGGATCTCACTGATTACCTCCATGCTTAGCCACTGATGTAGATTCAGCCGTGTGAGGGTGTGTGTATGCCTGTTCCTGATAGAGGGGTACCCTCTCATTTACTCATCACCAGCAGCACCTCCTTTAAGAGCTGCAGCAGAAAGGTCCAGGGTTCCAATAAGAAAGGAAATTCTGGCCCCCTAGCAGCTGGACCAAAAGGCAATGAAAGTGGCCAGTCTCCATGGCAATCAGGAGGAGGGACCTGAGCCAGGTGCTGCAGCAGCATGCACCTGCACAAGTTCTACTAGAGGCTGGTGTACCCCCTGACTATCCATCTGTGATGTGATTTTATGAACAGGACCATTTTATCCAATCAATGGATATAGCCTTCTCTTCCCTGAGTTCTGGAGCGGGTCCTCCTGAAGGTTGGCTATGTCTTAGTAATTAGACTTCATGCTTACAGACCTTCCCTTGGCCCCCTAACTCTCCAGTCTCATGATGATGAGCTGTTTTTCCATCTTTCTCTAGTCCCAAATCCCCATACCTCCCACACCTAGCAGTGGCCTTACAGGTTTTTGTTTTGTTTGTTTTGCTTAGATATTTTTGTTTTGTTTTAGTAAGTATGCCTGATAAGTTCTCCAGTTATCTCTGTGGCTCAAGGGTCACTGTCCTCACTTCTAAGGGTGTAGTTAATGCCTGTGCATTCCTGACTCATAGAACTCTGGGAGGGTGGGCCAGGAGAAGGCCTGGTCTTTCTCTTGAACTCTTGGTTGGTTGGTTGTTTGGTTTGACAAAGAGTAGGCTACACCTCACATCTCCAACTGTAAATAATTAACACTTGGTTAAGAAGCAGAAGACAATCTCTGGCCATAATTTGTTCACTCCTTAGGCCTGTGACCAGTCAGGTATTTTCACTGAGACTTCCATTTCTCTTCAGGTAAAAAATGCCTAGATGGACTTGCCTAGAATTGCCTAGACGAACTCTAAAATGTCCCTTAATGTGCCACATATCCAAGACATCTTAAAAAAGATCTGCTAGTCATCTCTTTCCTTTCGCCCTCACCCTAGCAGGGGCTGGATGGACACTTCAGCTGTCTGTTCCTGGATACAGGGTTATTTGTTGTGGGCTGGAAACCACAAAAGGGATGGGAGAAAGCCCACAGGGTTAGAAGGGAGCATTATTTCAATTGCTGGTGAAAGGCAAACAAGTCAGGCTGTAGCTCAGCTGGTTGAGTTCTTGACCAGTCTGCACAAAGCCCAGGTCCCCAGCTCCAGTGCCATAGAAACCCAGCACGGTGGGGCATGCCTCTAAGTCCATCAATCAGGAGGTAGAGGAAGGAAGGTGGTTGTTGTTCAAGTTCAACCTGTCTCAAAAACAACAAAATGTTTGTTCAACCCCTTACCAAACCTCAGCTAGCAAGCACTGCTGCAGGAAGGCACAGCAGGAATGTTGATGAAAATTGTCTCCGGGTGCAAAGGGGTGGCTCCAAAGCTCCAGTGCAATCGATCCTGACATCGCCAGCCTGGGCCATGTGCAACCCCAGGCCTAGCAGCTTCCCTGCTTCCTCACCACCAGCCCAGTGCCCTGGTCTCCTGTGGTTCACAGCTATCATTTCCTTCACCCCAAGTCACAATGCCATCATCGTACCGATGCCTGTGGGTAAAGCAGGACAACACAGCCAACTGTGACCCACTTTTGTACTCAGGGTCTCTGGGTACAAAGCACCCGTTGCCTTTGTGTCTGCGGTAGCTTTCTCAGCTTTACCCACAAGTCAAAAGGGGAGGAGAAACACACCCTTTCCTTCAGGTCACATCATTCAAAGCACAGGCTCCACTGTGGGCTGCGGGTCACCTGCCCACCTGTCTCTTCAGGTTGCATCCTGGGATCCATCCTGGGGCACCCAACTCAGCTGTGCTGCCCTTTTAGCTGTGGAGTCTGTCCCATGAGACACAATTTGTACACTCCAAACAGAACCCTAAACAGGAAGAGAAGGAGGAGGGGCCGGGGAATAGCCAGTCTTCCCCAACCTTCTCCACATCACTCCACTACTACTCCTGCTGCAGATTTCTTGTCTTGCATCTTTGATAACTTGGAACACAACCAAGTGAATGTCAAAATAAAGGACACATTTTAAATAGAAAAATCCCAGAGGGTCTTCCATTCTTCACCTGTGGAGGGCCAGCTTATTTGAACACCCAAATGAATACTCAGATGAAACCCAAAAAAGATCCATTTTCAACACTTCAATCTACTGGCTTCCTCTCTTCAGCTCACACATTAGCAAAGCACACACTTTCTTTCGAGGTAACCTTCTGCTGAGTCAGCATCCACAACCAGCAAGGATTTCCTGTTTCTTGGAGAAGGGGCCTTAAATGAGTTAGAGATAAGTTGTGGATTGCAAAGAAAAAGACCGCAGTTTCAGCTGAAGTGCCAGGACATGGCAACCTTTATTACTGATCAAAACTTTACTACACCTGTTGTACCTACCTGGAATCTTCTCAACCTCCAAGGAAGTGACTCCAGACTGCAAAAGCAAAAGGTTTTTATTGCCAAAAATCAAACCAGGTGGGACCTTTACAATTGCGAAGCATTTTTAAAGGGAGGCTTGAGACTGCTAGTGTCAGCTCACAAGATTTCCAAGGTTATAGAGATTTCATAGAGTAAAAGGTTTTTACAAGGCAGGATTGTTTAGCACACTTGTAGGGTGGGGTTTTTTGTTTGTTTGTTTGTTTTGTTTTTTGCTGGCTTTTGGTTTTGTTTTTGTTTTTCTCTAGGACTGGCAGGCTCAGTGGCCTTGCCTCAAGATAATGGGGTAAAGGAGGTTGTTTGCACAGTTGGTGGTGAGCTCCTGCTTTCTTCTTTATCTCCTGAGAACAGCGTGTGGGCTCTGTACTCTGCAGTCAGGAAGTTATCTACTGTCAGAAATTCTTGTTCTCTCTAGTTTTCCCTTCCTGCCAAATGCCCTAATTTTATATCTTTTAATTATTAATTTTTCCATCATAACCGAAGAGCGAACACACATGGACGGGAAGTGTTTGTTTTCATCCTCACTCTTTTCCCCATTGCCTGGGGTCCTCACAGACGAATTAACGCTCAGTTCCTGAGCGAGGAAGGGGAGGGCCATTGATCCAAGGTGTCAGGGGTCACTGTTCCAGGCCATCAAGTTCCCATACACAGCAGGGCCTCTATGTAAACAAATATTTTACTGGGTGGAAAGATTATTAAAATGTTTGCATAAAAGTCTTGCTTGGTGGGGGAGGTAAAAAGTTGTGAATTTCTTGTCCTGAAAACAAGTTTTACAGTATTTATTTGACAGTTCTTACAGGTGCCTTAGCCAGGATGACGAATTCACTAGGGGGCAGTACAGACTCCTGCCCCCCTCACTTTCCAGGCCTGCAGCTTCCCCACCTTTTGGGTCAAATCGTTTCTCAAAAGACTTAACAGTGTTATGCCCTGTGCGGTATGGGAAGGGAGAGATGGGAGAGAGACAGATGTACAGCGACTGCAAAAACAAGAGAAACGGAATGGAGGTTAGAGACAACCATGTATGTGAAGGGGAAAGACCAAGGATGAAGCTGGGAGAGGTACGTGTCTTTAGTCCCAGCACAGGGAACCAGATCTCTGAGTTCAAAGGTAGCTTGGTCTACAGAACGACTTCTACACAGGAAAAACAAACAAAAAAACCCCAGCAACAACAAAAGGTGAGGGATGAAGTCAGTGTGTCTGTATTTGTGTTACGCAGGAGAATAAGAGAGTAGCTCCTCCCCCCACCACCTCAAAGGCCATGACTATAGCTGGATGGGCTGCAGCTGGGTGGCCAAGACAATCCTGTGCTAAGACCTCTGGCCCAGGCAAGGCTGAAGTGCAGCTTCGCCTCAGGGAGCAGCTGGCCGATGTTCTGCTAACGTGGTTCACTTCTGAGAGCCAAAGAGCCTGAAGCACATTTCTATGGCGCCTTACCACCCCTTCACACCCCGCCCCCCATCATCCTGGGATGCCCTGAAAGGCAGAACTGCCTTTAGTTTATCAATTTGGCCTCAGGCTTATGGTAAAGCCACCATCTGGGTTCAGCCCTTTTCCATGATAGCCTTTGACCTTTGGAAGAGTCAGGCCACTGCTCAATCCAGACCCAGGTGGGAGGACAGTGTGGGAGGGCAGGGAGCCTCTGAGAACAGATACCCACAGTAAATGCTAGATTTCTGAGGCAGCTTAGAGACAGGAGGAAAAGAGAGGCCTGTCTGACCTGAGGGAGAGGGGGTGTTTGCCAAAGGGGAAGGAGAAACTTGAGGTTTATATAGAAAGTTTGGGAAATGGGAAGTTAAATGCAATTTACAGGACTACGTGCAGCCTGCAGTTTCTCCCTCCTGGAGTTGTTTATCC